TCTAAATGCTCCCTCTCAGGTAACTTTTAGTATTGAAAATACTACTTGGGTTGTTTATATGAGACCTATCTCATGAAAAATGAAATCGTTCAGCGACAGATCTGATAATCAAACGTGTCGAGGTCAAAGTTTGCTAGGCCTGTTATTCTAGGTTATAAGAAAATGTCAATAAACACAAAGGATAAATATCGATGATTGAATAATGTCTATGGGTTTTGTCTCATAACACTGCAATTTGAGCTCGTTTAGGTTCTTTTACGTGTTTTGTTTGTCGTACGTCTTTAACTGAATTAATAGAAATTCCTTAAAAGAATAGCATTTGATAGCCAGTATGGCGTAGTATCCACCATTTAACATGAATGCTCGAATGGCAGCCTTCGAAACCCTGAATCGCTTTGTTTTACAGTTTATCGACCCGCTTTTCGCCATGAATAAATTGTGAAATTATAGAGTGAACGGTTTAGAGATTTTAAACGCCGACCTACGAGGAACATTAAATAAATTCCAACTTGACACTAAATTCCCTCAAAAGTGCAAAAGCGATTTACTAATGTATATCCTGTAAAAAATTACTTTTCAGTAATTTAATTTAATTTATTTTAATTTTATTTATTTATTTCACTTCACTTGAACGTTTATACATTTTAAACTGCAAGGAACTGCTTGTAGCACTCAGCTTTATGAAAACTGTTTGTCAGAATGTCAAACATGGCTTGAGAATTATTGACTATTGCTTCATCTAATTATCGAATGCTTTTGTCAATTGTTAGTAGTTAGTTCACATACAACTCTTTTAACGATAAGATCACTGTTACATTTTTATCATTTTTGTCGTTTGCCATACTAAATAAACTGTTTAATACATTCTACCAAATTTATTTTAACACGGATCATTTACATTCCAAGAGTAGTAATTAGTATCTGATGATATATTAGAAATTTGAAAATTTACACAATTTAGCGGGAGAAGTTATAAGAACGCCAATAGCTGATCATTAGTAGTAGAAGGTGAACTAATAATATACAATAATAATACGTTTTATCAGAAGCTTTTATTGAAAATAAACACTTAACAGTTAATTTTGGTAATTGGCGTTAAGTCCTGTAGTACTGCTTTTAGTAGAAGAAGGTTTGTTTATAAGAAATTCAGAAGGAAATTGTCTCCACATGATACTAACTACAACTACAAATTGTTTTTAACATTATATCACTAATATTTATACAAACTAAAGCACAACAAAACACAAATAATTACAAAAACAAAAACGTATAACAGCAGAAAAAGACGGCAAACAACACTTCACTACATCAGACGTTGCTTAACAGACACAATCAATTCGAAACTTGACCATTCTGCACAAAACCTACAAATTGCTAAATTTACTGTTGCTGTCAAACCATCGAAAACTAAGCGCTACTTACTTAAGTTGCGGGTAGGCAGCGTACGGTGCAAACGAATTGTAAGTTAAGTAAGACTTATGTTTACCTGTAAGCAGTACTTTGTTAAGTCTGTGCAAACGTGCATCAATGTAATAACGCCAAATGTAAGAAAGTAAAATAGGCTGCGATTATTATTAAATTTAATTATTTATTTTATATTTCATTATTAATCNTTATTTTATATTTCATTATTAATTATATAAAATATTTTGTGTCATAAAAAATTAGAAAATGTTTTGAAACGTTTTTTTCGAATCATTATTCGAATATTTAATCATGATATCTATTATATCTGTAGTTATTCATGATGTTGAAATCAAAAAATTTAAATCACCCGCCAATTTTTATGTCTGCTTGATTTCAAATCTTGAAAAAAAAAATTATTACCATAATAAACTGCAATAATTTCTATGAGTGGTCAATTTTTCCATGTGGTAATATTGTAGATAACATTAAAACAAAATTAGTTAACTATTTATGACAATTTTCAAAAGTTCAATAATTTGCCTGAAAGTACAATAATTATACGGGCTTAGTACAGTATTTTTTTTCACGCATCTGCCAACACTGCTCCACCCCATGCTATAATCCCGTACGTTGCAGCACTATTAAAAAGACCATAATATATTTGCAGTAAATTTTATGTATTCATTACATATCTTAATTTATGAAAAACGTAGACTAAGTATCTATTTTTTTTCCTCAAATTATTATTTGTTCGCTTTACTTGAAATTGCACTCTAAAATTAGTCCTATTAAGTACTTGGCATTTCTGTTTCTATTTATTGTTTGATCTTCTATTTTTATTATAAAATCCTTCGGTACTGAGGCTTTGTATTTGATGAAGGGACATGAACCTTGACGAAACTCTTGTGCAAACTAAAGTGGGTGGATCGGCTTGCGAGTTTCGATGATTGGTTCAACCATAATGGGGGGGGTTCTTAAAGAGACACCAGACTAAGACAAGTCCCTGAAAGAGGGCAGCAGCTCTTTCAGTACTCAGGGTGGCAGAGATCACGTGGATCGGTATGGTACTCTGATGCAAAATACTGCGATGTAGAAGGCAACGGGAAACCACCACACCTCACAAACAAGGGCAATAAGGTTTTTTTTAAAGGTGTATGTTTGAAGCACGGCGTTGTACGGGTGCGAAACATGGACAGTGGGCGCGGCGGAAAAGAAAATGTTAGAAGCTTTCGAAATGGGGTGTTACAGGCGAATGATGAGGATACCGTTGATAGAGAAGGTTAGAAATGAAAAGTTATTAGAAAGAGCAGGAGAACACAGGACTCTATGGAAGTCAATGAGAAATAGGCTAGATAGGTTGGTACGACATCTTCTCAGACATGAAGGTCTAGTCAGAGACATATTAGAGGCAGAAACAGGAGTTAGGAGGGGTAGAGGTAGATCTAGGTTAGATAACTGTCAGCAAATAGTCAAGGATGTAGTTGTTCTTGTTTCAGGGAAATGCGAAGATTAGTTCAGGATAGGAAAGAGTGGAGGTACGTGTCCAACAAGTCTGACGAACTTATGATGATGATGAATCAAATTGGTCTTTTGAATGTTGCTTAAACGACGGTTTTTGTATAGCCAATTTTGATCCTAAGATTTAAAAAAAAAAAAATGAAAAATGGTACTTTCTGGTTGTCAGTTTTACTCCCTTGATATTTTGGGCAGTAGCAAAGTTGAAGACGCTTGGAAGTCTATGTAAGATCTAATACTTGAATAAATTGAAGCAGTAAAGATCAAATTTTTGGAAAATCTACGTTCCTTCCATATCTTGGGTCAAAAATATTGTTTGAACTGTCACTATGAAAGCAATAAAAAATAATAAATTTATATTCGTGGACTGTACATTTAATTAATTTGATATTTATAGAAACGCCCTTGTAATAGCGCCGCATACAAAACTAAATCTAAATTATAGAACGTGCAAGTAGGTACCAAACAGACCTCGTTCTCCACCCTATACACACTATATATTCAATAAGGTTACAAGCTGATTTCACTATCTTTCTTTATGTTTTGGCTGATCGTTATTGTTATTATTTTAATCGAAATGTAATGAACTGCATTGTACACGGGCGCCGTTGCTGGCGGCAATATTGGATGTCATTAATGTATCAAGTGTAATTGGTGCTTTGGGTGTCATTTAAGCTACTTCAACACACGCAGGGATAATTCAGAATCTCACGAACCTTGGTTTTAGGTTGCGTAGTAACAACACTCCGCCCGCTCACTGGTTTCTACTTTTCTCCCTCTTAAAAATATTAAGTCACTGTTTACAATTTATCTGGAGCTCCGCCCTTGCATGGCACATGCTTAACAATTGGTGCAATGTTTCTATAAGGTACGAATGCACTAGTGCAATATACAAAGCTGCAGGCGATCGATACTGACGACACCCTTGGTTGGCCTGAATGCCGCCAGAGAATGACGTGAAAAATTATACAGTGGACAAAAATGATGCGACAAAGGTAACTTATTGGGATCCGTCAAATGGGCATACACCATCTGGTGGTATAATTTATAACTCGAATGAGGGAAAAATTTACATAGGAACTGTGCACGCAAATTGTAAAATTGTTTATTAGAATAATAAAACACGTTAAAAAAGTAAAAATTTTTTTGATGATGGAGTCGACGAAGTTTTCTTCTAAAGTTAAATCAAATAAAAAGTTAATATGTTCAGTGAAAAGCTGCAATAGCACTTCAGACATAGATCTTCACTCTTCACCTACATTAACTACTTTCCAATAAAAACTAACCGTTTTATATATGTAAAAAATATATTCGGAAAATTAGAGAAAAAAGTAAACTAATAGAAGCTTGGATGAAAGCAGTAGGTATCAAAGAAGTGAATTCCGGAATAAAAATTTGTTCACGTCATTTTAATGCACATGATTATATTTCAGCAAGTATTTACCATCAGCCATAACCTTAATATTTAAAACTAGAATCATACTAAAATTATAAAGTGAGAAATTATTTATTCCTGTGTAATTGATTTAACACAATTCTAATGATACGATATAAGTATTTTGAGGTTAAGAACCTACCTGCTGCAATACAACAAAGTTGCAATAATGTGTTTGCAACGTTCTCTTAAATCGGCTTTGCACGTGCAAGTCATTGATATGATAGAGCTTAAATCACCCAGAATCACCTCACCAATTATATAACGTGAATTACTTTTTAAATCCGAAGTTTGTAAAAAGTAGGCAGCAAACTTGATGGAATTTCCGAGGCTTTATGTCAGCCCAATAACATATTGTGTCAATACTTATCATTTTATCGTAATTTAAAAAATTGGAAATTGCACGGTACACTATAGGAACTACGATAAATTTTCCCTAATCGGCGCCATGTTTTTAGGCTCCTCCCATTTGACGGATCCCAATAGGAAGACCTAACCTATAGAAAATGGAAATCATATTTCCTTAATTTTGTACGTGGGAGAAAATATTTAATGTAGATTTAACAACAAATTACCGCCTTCGAATGTTTATTCTTCTATGGATTTCGGCCGTGAAAGCCTTTGTTTTTATAAATAAACTTACCTTAGTTGTACTATCGCATTTGTGTGTAGTACCAAGAAGTTCAGAGAAACGTTTATCACAATGATTGATACGTAAAGGAATAAAAAAGGCGGTCCCGCTGTCGGAAGTTTTGGAAACGTATGCGTGAAACCAGCGCCGTCCAAAAAATTCACAATCTCTAAATGGAGGTGACCAGCCGCTGCTAATCGAGTTATAAACCATCCAAAAAGCTTCCACTTCCCTAGCTCGATTCATAACCTGTTTAACTCTTCCATTTTTGAGCAGCGCATAGATTGGACGTCGGTTCGTTGATGTAAGAATGACTCCTACAAATATATCCATAGTAGTGAGAAGTCTAGATGAAATATACGAGAAATTGTATCCCTGAAACAGAAAAAAATAGCTAGTACAACGCTTTCTAGTTTCAACACTTTTTTAAATAATCATCCACAATCATTATATTGCCAGATAGATACACTTCAATCCTATGATATATTAAGGTCGACTCGATGATTTGAAACTCAAGGGACCAGAGATAAATTTCAAATTACCAAGAATTCAAAATAACAAGCGGTTAAATAACCACGAGGGGGAGGGGGAACCCAAGTAAATAAGAGTTTGATCAAAATTCGTGATTTATTATTTCTATATTAGGTAAAGGTCTAGATGATGGCCCCCACCCCCGAAAGGTTGGGGGGATCGAAAGAGGAGGTCTTCCCCATCACTATACCATAAAAATTTCGTGGCGGTCTCATCCCAAAAAAAGTGATGGGGGTTGATATTAACTATTTTCATACACTATAATTCAAATAAAATAATCATTTTCAAGCGGGTGGAGGTGGGGGATCGAAAGAGGGTGGTTACTTGAACAAAACCCGATAACCTAACCTAACCTATTGATAAAGATATTTAAATAATGTTTTATATAACTTTCTCAATATTTTTATGTATTTTTCATTAGTTTTACCTTTGAATATTGTTTAAGAATGACTATATAAATATTTACATGCCTAGAAATGTATAAAAATTGGCATATTTATTAACTTTGAACCCCCATAATTTTTATGGGAGTGAGACCGCCACGAACTTTTTATGGTACAGTGATGGGCGAGACCTCCTCTTTCGATCCCCCCACCCGCACCCCCTTCGGGGGGATCTTTACCCTATCTTATTAACAATTAAATACAATAATACAATTATTCAAAATTTTTATTTCGAAAAGTAGCCCGTAATATTTTTTTGAGTGAGCGACTTCAGTCCATCATTACCCATAATGTAATCTGTCTTCTTCAAGATCATTGAAAATGTCGACGGTAAAATACCAAACTGTTTAGCGACATCCTTTTTTAATTGTCTATCCTCCACAGTTTGAATCTCACGCTTTTTATCACATATGGAAAGACATTTTTTCTTTCTTTGATTCATTTTAATAACACAAATTAAACATTAACATGACATGATGAACGTTTAAAATAAGACTGGAATGCGAACTTACTCATATCTCATTTATGTAAATAATCGACAGGTCTGTGCATGACAAACGCTTTAAATTATAGAGAGTAGGGAAGCCCGGACTTCAAATTATCGCATGTCGGCGAGCAAGGTACTACTCCGACAACTTCAAATTACCGAGGGGACCAATTAACATTGATTTTATTCAATTTACCGAGTATTTTTCAAGGGACCGGAAAAAATTCAAATTATCGAAAGATTCAAATTAACGAGTCTCAAATTATCGAGAAAAAGAAAATTATTCAGAAAGGGATGAAATGTTCTTTATTAATTATGTAATTCCACCGACGTTTGACCTTTCAATCTAAAGCCTTATCAAGGTAGATTATATAGTTAATAAATTATATTAGGAGACATTGGAATTTCCTTTTTTTTTTGTATAATCCGAAAATTTATTCGTTACGCTAAAGCAAAAACTTTTACGCAAAACTTCTTTATATTGTATATTATAGTAGAACACATTTAAAAAAATTGTGTGGTTTTATGAAACCACGATGCAAGTGAAACTTTTCGGATTGTAGGCATTGGAC